CTGCTTCGGTCACACATCAACGTTCCAGATTGAGTTAAATGAACTGTAGATTTGTTTGTTTATTGAAAGACGCTTTCTCAGCTACACGTGTCACATAGGTAGTATCGAGGCACAGTTAACTGATACATGTGTTCGTTTACTGATTTATTAAATGACGTTTTCTCAGCTACGCACATTATATAGTATCAGGAAGAGTTAATCGATTCACAGACGAATTTATTAATTCGGCTTATTAACCATAATTTGTTTCTGGCCTAAGAATTTCTTGAGAAGTTTATATTTGCTCAGCTGGTCAGAAAATTCCAAGCTTGCATCGGACTCGGAATTGCGTTACTGAGTTTACAAAAGCTCGGCATCGGGTGTTATGCCATTTCACACACACGCACGTCACTCCCCAATCAATTTTAATTTTATCGTTCCATCTACGCCTTGGTTTCACTGATGCTCTTTTCTCTTGGGATTTTCTGATTAAAATTTTGAATACATTCTCATTTACCCGTAACAATGAGTATTGTGTGTCTTTCCACCTCATTCTTCTTAATTTTATCACCCTAATTAACATTAGACGAAAATCTTCATTAAGTAATTTTCTCCATTCTTATGTAACCTTCTCTTTCTTAAGTCATACAATTACCCACAGCAGTCTGTTCTTGAATGATTTCAATCTGTGTTCTTCCCTTAATCTAAGAGAAATTGTGCTACAAGAGATAAATTTTTAAAACGCTTTTAACTAATTACTTAACTCCGAAGGGCACAGTCAGTACTTTATCTCACATATAATGAATCGCATTGCAAGTTGTTTGCTTGAAAATAATCTACTCTCGTGTTAAAGGTCATCATCCTGGATCTGTTAAGATGCATGAACATAAAAAACGCCATTTCAAGTCGGTCTGTTGTGTCTCGAGTCTCTTCTGTTCCAGCAAGCAAAAGGCTGTAAGTACTGATAATGTATTCTAACTGCGTGAAATACCTGATAATATGCGTAATTACAAGACGGATACTTGTAATAAATTTCATCACCGTTTCACACAACAAACAATGCAAATTTAATTTGAATCTTTGTTGTCGCACTGTATCATATTCAGGCTCGAAGTATATGTGATCTGAAGCAGGTTATTTTATGTCGCACATGAAAAAATGTTTGCAAACATATTAATGCTTATGAAAATTATGAGTGAAAAAGTAAATGAAAATATAAAATTAAGTTTTATAGCTAGAAATTTAAATATTTTTAATTTGAACAGGATGCATGAATATAATATCAATGCATGTTTACAACTTTGTACTTGACATAATATAATAAAATCTGTAAATATTTAATTAGGTTCTCTTTATGTTTGTAATTTAAAGAAAGAAGTTCAATAAGCCATATATGTCATAGGGGCCTCCTTCACAGTAAGTTACGTGGAAACTGGTTTGTGAAATCCAGCATTTTTAGTGTTAGAACTGACACCGTGAAGCTGATAATAGTTGTTCTTCGAGAATTTTATTTTTGAAACCGAACGTCTCTCACCTTGTTCGTAAGAGTCACTGGCCCTAACCTGTGCCAGATGTATCCACTGCATACTCACACATAATATTTATTTAGAAATAATTTTAATAACCGCTTCCAGTCTACGTCATGGTCCCGCAAATCGATCGTTGTACGAAATTATCTTACGTTCTATCTGTGCTGTGATTCCCGCTCACATAATTCTCCTTTATTCGATCGCCCTAATTAAATATGATAAAAAGCAGGCCTTTAACTATATGTGTCACAGATCCAGCAAAGAATAGAAAGATTTGCGCATTAAAAATAATCGTCTCCAAAAGGAAAATGTTATAACTGTCAAAAGACGCCAAAAGAACAGTTTGAACTAATTTATGCTTTTATGAATTTTAGAGAATACCTGGATTGAATGGACGAAGCGTGTTATACGTCTAATCACTGGACATTTTCGGTCAATTGTCCGGGTCCTAGTATACCCGGTGCCAGCGCAGTGTTCTTTACCGGCCTTATTACAGCGCTCCTCGAATCGGAACGTGGTTTGGGAAACCCAGAAGACTACCCGGAGGACGCCGGCTCTTTTTTACTTCGTCGTGGTCGGAGGAGGCACTGCAGGGTCCGTTGTTGCAGGAAGACTCAGCGAGGTACCGGACTGGAATGTCCTTCTCATAGAAGCAGGCGGTGATCCCCCTAAGACGTCCGACATTCCTGCAATATTCTTCTCCCTTCAGAAAACTGACATCGACTGGAAATACAGGACGGAGCCCGAAGAAGAAAGTTGCCAGGGAATAAAAGATGGACGATGTGCCTGGCCCAGAGGTAAAGTTTTGGGCGGAAGTAGTACAATAAACGGTATGCTTTATATCCGAGGAATGAAGGGCGATTTTGACGACTGGGCTGCAGCTGGGAATGAAGGATGGAGTTACGAAGAAGTTCTAGAATACTTCAAGAAATCAGAAGATTTTAAACCAAGTGCAAATGAAGATAATTACGAACCATTTTATCACGGTACAGGAGGACCCGTAAGTGTGCAAAGATTCGAAAGTATGGATCTCGCATGGTCAGTTATGGATGCAGTGAAAGAGGCAGGATATAAACAGTTGAACGACATCAATGGCCCAAGCCAGTTAGGATTTGCACATTTGCACGGTACACTCATAAACGGTACACGGTGCAATACTGCGAAAGCTTTCCTTAATCCCGCTAAAAACCGGAAAAATCTTCACGTTTTAAAACACTCGAAAGTAACCAGGATCATAATAGACCCGGGTACAAAAGTAGCTAATAAAGTTGAATTCAGTTCAAATGACGGCAAGCTTTATCAGGTTAATATTAAGAAGGAAGTAATCGTATCAGCTGGTACTATTAATTCTCCACAAGTGCTCATGTTGTCTGGTATTGGTCCAGAAGAACATCTGAAGGAATTCGGTATCGACGTCATTAAAGACCTAAAAGTTGGCGAGAACCTTCAAGATCACTTAATCTTTCTTGGATCTGTATACAACATAAGGAAATCTGGCAAGTCTCAATCAAGCTCATTGTCTTTCCTTGATGCGTCTTATGAATATCTAACACGAAGGAGTGGCCCACTCGCTACTCATAATGGAAATACTGTGACGGGTTTCATCAGGACCAAATTCTCTTCCAATGAAAGACCAGACATTGAAATATTTTGTTTCATTATTTCAGCAAATGATACAAATGCAGCAGCCACGGTTGGTACCAGTTTTGGTCTAGCAGACGAGACAATTATCTCGTTACAGGAAATGTCAAAAGAAGGGGATGTTGTTATGTTGGCCCCTCTTCTTGGACAACCAAGAAGTAAAGGTAAGATACTCCTCAGTTCATCAAATCCTTCAGATAATCCAAAAATATATGCAGGTTATTTAACGGACAGAGAGGACCTGGACGCATTGCTGGAAGGCATCGAAGCAACTACTAGAATAATGCAGACTGGCGTAATGAAGAGTCGTGAAGCCAGAAGCAGAAGGCTGGCTGTGAATTCGTGCGAGGTCTTTGATTTTGACAGTAGCTCATATTGGGAATGCATGCTCAGAAATATTGCAACATCAGCTTTTCACGCTGTGGGCACATGCAAGATGGGACCCAGTTCAGACCCAGAAAGTGTTGTTGATCCCAGACTAAGAGTTCATGGTGTAAAACGAATCAGAGTAGCTGATGCATCCATAATGCCCATCATTGTGGCGACACCGACTTATGCGACATCTATAATGATAGGTGAGAAAGCGGCTGACATGATAAAAATGGACTGGCTTCAGTAACATCTAAGCATCCCAACCGATATAGTGTGCTCGGGCAGAGACGAAAATGGAAAATAAAAATTAGAAAATATATGCATACGTTAATAATTCTGAACCGTTCTCTCTGTTATTGCCTCTGGATTATTAATTCGTATGTACTAATGGTCTCTTCTAAATCATTCACTGTCCCTGTATCCTGTCATTATTATTCTTTCAGTCTCTTAGCGGATTTACGTACTAATGGTCTCTTCTAAATCATTCACGGTCCCTGTATCCTGTCATTATTTTTCTTTCAGTCTCTTAGCGGATTTAGATAGTCCAGTGATATTATTTGGCGGCTGTGCCATTGTAACTAGGAAATTCGAGAACTGATGTAGCGATCGCGCATAGCGGAAAGGATGCGTTATGTCACCAGCACAGCCGTCACATATCCTCACTATACCTTGAAATATTACACTGTCCGCTCCTTTAAAATCCTTGCATATTCACTAAAAATACTAACCTTTATTCTTTATTCAACGCTACATAGATATTGATGTTGAAAGAGGGTCGTTAAATACAATAATAACTAATTAATTAGCACCTGTGCACTTCCCCACATCATTTCCATCTACAATGCAATATCTTCGTCGAGTAACTTATGATTTAAAGCACTGAAATGTCAGAAACAGCAGTGAGATTGGTTGTTGATGTAGGACAAAGTCTCCGTAAGTGGATATGTCTAGTGCCAAGGGAAAGTGACGATGCTAGTTGTGCCTGTTGTACTTATGGCGTTGATGCTTATACTACGAATTTCATATTTCATTTAAGAGCAGATGGTAAGATAATATTAAAATGCAGAATTTTTGTTTCGAAACGGCAGTTACGTCATCACTAACAAGTACAAAGAAATTGTTTCAACCACCATATTATGGTACAAGTTCGGAAGAACATTAAAAATTTACATATAATTACAGCTTGTAGGATAGTCTCTAGCAAGAATCAACAAGATATTTTCCAAGTCCACATACAAAGACAAGATTTTAACATTTATAGGAAACGGTCAGTCATTTTGTAACGCATTTTAAAATACGTCACACACGATGTTGTATCAGTAAGTAGAGTGATAAGTCATTGTACTATGGAACTACCAACAACCTACATTAAAATAAGCTGATCAAAATCCTGGTAAAAACAGAATGCACTGAAATCTATACAGAAAAGAATATGTGAGGGAGACAGAAAGACATCTTCACGAATCCGATTTCCGTTACGCGTAATGCTTCATTTAATTCAGCGTTTAAATCAACTTATTTAATATTCTAGATTCTGCCTCTTCCAACTTTTAAGGATAAATCAGTCTACCCTATCCTTTCATTGTTATTCTGCTCGTGTGTCTCCTCCAAACGTCTAAAAATTATGGTCCGTTTATATAACGCGAGGACGACTTGCCTAATCGCGTTAATGTTCATTTCTATTCAGAAAGCTTCCTTACTGTGACGTCAAGTGTTATTGAAAGCGAAGGACGAAATCCGTATATCTTCTTTTAAGGTACATTTGTACCGTTATGTGCCGAATTATTCTACAAGAACATGTAACAAAGTGCATGTGCCTTGTTTAGGAAACACGAATGCACAGAGGAGGGTAAGGTTTTTGTCTGTCGGTACGTCACGTCTCAGATATGTTTCATTCATATTCAAAGTCTGTACATGCAGACTGCATGTACTTATAAAAATACCACGCACGAATAAGGACCACTGAGTAGTCCCCTGTACTATAAATATATGAAATAACAATTTAATAAAGTTAACCAAAATTCAAATTTCGCCATACCAATCAATGTATTCCTCTTTCGATTTTAATTGAATATATTCACGCAGTGCTATTTAAATGTATACTTTATTATAATAAATTGCCATCAAACACTTATTCACTAATTTATTTATTATTTAGTACACACATTTAGGCTTGTAAGTCATAGTCACTTCTAATAAAATATAGATCTATTTGTCTTACACAATCCATATCCCTAACAGTTTTCTAAGTGTAAAGTACTTGTTTGAAAGGAATGGTCATTTTATTTCAACTTTATATGGGCATATTATTATAAAAAGCTAATATACGAAAATATAAAATCCAATATTAAAGAAAATTTCGAAAAAAATATTAAACTGTTCTTCATAATACAATTCATTGACTCATAATTGGTTTATTCAATTACTAGATTACACAGTGTCTAATAGTAGAACAACTACGAATTACAAATTAAAATGAGTGTGGAAAATATCGTGGCTTATTTTCAAATACTACAATACTTGTACAAAATAACATATGAACGCAAATGGTGATGCCTGACATGCCGCTGAATTTTAGACAGAAGACTGACACACCAAATTTCGCTCCCAAAATTTGTTGATATCTAAGAATACCTTCCCGTACACTAGTTGGCTTCGCGAAGGTCTTCAGTTGGCTCCTGAAATTGGGACACCGAAAGGGATTATGTACGTGCGTTTACGATAGACAGTACCCCTAGACCCGTGCGTTGTTTCACGATGTATAACAACGTGAATATATTCGACTATTTGAGGGAGTGGTCTCCATCTCTGCCTCTAGCAATCCCTTAGCAACCGCGCAACCAAGGGTAGATAAACCAGCAACTTAACATTCAGTAATCTGAATGTCTACTTCAGCTCCCACACATCATCAAGATGGCATAACAAATATTAAGAGAACTTATGAGTCTACAGTACCAGGCAGTTCATAGCTTCAATGAACAATGTAATATTATTCCCACCGGATGATGAAATAGAATACAGCAGAATTTATAGCCCTTACGTATTAGTATCAAACTAGTCGAATACAAAGTACGAAGTGAAGAAGTCTGAGCTGTAATTGTTCGGTATACGATCTAATAGCGGTATTTTGTGGTGAAGTTATAAACAGTCGGACACTGACACCAGAATTCGTAAACATGTAATCACTTTAGTTCTGAATCGCCATAAAACATTAGAACACGTCAATGTGACTAATATTTAAATATTCGTATTTCAGAAAGAAACCGAATTACCTCCATGGAGCTGAGTCTTCTTGATAAAATGATTAAAATCATTAGTTATCTTTGCTTAATTGCGTGAGCTTCGAAGAGTTAACACGCAAACGTGTTTTGTGTGAAGTACACATACATAGCAGACCATGGACATGCGAACAGTCTTGTGTTTCAGTGAAATATTTCCACAAATAAGAATACGAAAATTAAGTAGTACAGTGCAAAAAATTAATACCATTAGTTATCTTTGCTTAATTGAAGAATATAATATGGTTTCATGTAATGTAATCTCAAATATGATCTTATATTGAGGTTGTAATCACTGCGTTGCATTGTAGTATAAGCGCATGGTAGACGTCCCTTAACAGCATTTCCACAGCAAGGGTTATATAATCCCATAAAACCCTAAACCCCTTAACAGCAAATGATCACCGTACCATGGCAACGGTAATAAAAACACACATTCTTTAATAGTATCACATAAGGCCACAAGGGCACAGATCCCTTAACAACAAAATATGATCAGGAACTAAGCAATTAGCATTGCTTATTATATGTACATATATTTGTATGGCTTTAAGTAGGGCAGATATTAAAAACCCTTATTTATTTTATTTTTTTTGCCTGTACAAATGTTTTCTATCAGCATGTGAAACAGTGATAAGTAAAATAGTGGAGGATTTTGATTAGATACATGGATAAACCGTAATACGTCACAAATTATTTATGCCGAAGTGTGACGTGCCATGTTTATTTTAATGGACTTGTAATCCCGGATTAAAGTGGATTGTCCTCTTCCTGAAAACCCCCACTCAATCCCCAAAACACAGAGAACGACTGCAGTGCTTTCTGCTGCCTGGCTTCTGAACTAGAATCGGCATACTTAATGCGAATAATAAGGATTTGCATTGCAATTCGCAAGCCGCGTGGAAAGCAGAGCATTTTCACTGCTGGAAAATTTATCACTTCCTGAATGAAGTCCCATT